CTTGTTAACCAGTTCTTTAGCGCAAGCTACATTATTGCACCCTTATTCTACTCCCTCCTCGATAAGACCTTGGTCGAACTGCAGACGGGCAACTACAGCCAGCTTCAATTCGTCGCCATCGCCGCCACAATCTCAACTTTCGCTCCCGTCTACGACGATCGCATGTCCCGAACGCTGATAAACTGCTTGGACGCTAATGGTCGCTCAAACTACACTGAATTCGGTGCGTACAAGGATTTCGTTAACTCCATGGCTAGTTCAAGCGCGTATGCTGGGTTGAAGGTGGCGACCTTTAGCGGGCCCATTTGCAGCCAATTGAACTTGTTCCCGCCGGAGAGTCAAGCTTTTGATGGTAAGTTTCATGGTACACGATATTTACTGTAACAAAAATTTCACACAACTCAGGCATTCCGAGGGTTGAAGGGAGGAAGCTTCCGATCTTGTTCGTCAGTGGCATTGCAGATCCCATTACGCCCTTGCCCTCAGCAGAGAGGATGCAGACGTACTTCCCTAGCTCAGGTCTGCTGAAATGGAACAACAGTGGTGTAAGTTTCTGATTGTTTTGCGTTTACAAAGAGCTGTGGTTGACTAGATATGGAAGCATTGCGCACATTTCCAAAAATCGGCTTGCGTGTCGCAATACGAGAAGCAGTTCATGCTTCATGGCACAATCCCGCCAGCCAATACCACGTGCGACATCGACCAGCCGAATCCGTTTTTGATTGCTGTTGAGCAATTGGCGGATGATGCGCAGAGCTAAGTTTAAGTAGGGAACTGTTTTGGTGTGTGGACGAAGTGGCAGCATATAGATGCAGACTATAACGAAAGTTACGTCTCCATACACGTGTGCACATTTGCTCGAATTGCACAACCACAATCAATACAGATGGTAGCAGCTCTGTACATATAGTCTCTGCACACATGCGCGAAAAATCGGAAGAACAGCGACTGCAACAACGATTTACAATATCGGTAGGTCTTTCCGCATCATCACTGCGGTCAGTAATCCAACTATACTTAGGTGGACTTCATGTGCGACCAACGCTTCTCTGTCACAGGAGATCCGAGCCAGCTTCTCATTCGTGCGCAGATATACGTGGTTGCCGAGAAAATAAGATGTTATCGGTCTCAAAGATTGTATCAAAGATGAACTGAGATGGAGCTGCAAAGGATTGTGGAACTATCTCGAGTTCACAACGGCTGCACGCCATGTAGTTGTCATTACCCCAGACTACGGCAAGGGTCTGCACACCATTGTCACCTAAACACTCTCCGACTATACAAGTCTTCTCGAGAAACCTGAAACTAAAAGCCCAACAATCGAGTACAATGTCTTATCTTGTGTGCTTTTATTGGAAAAGGCCAAGCCAAAGCTTGTTCTTTCACTTTACCTCAACAACAGAAGAGGACCTTCTCATACTATTGCGCTGGGTTGGGTTGTAGCGGAGTCGAGCCTTTTAGTTCCCGCTTCTCCGCATGCTAGTCGCGCGGTTCTAGCTATGCGTTCAGCATTAACTTTTTTGCGAGGGTGCCTGTCTTCCGCGTCGCCGCGAAACTCTGATGTACTACACATACATACCTGAACAATTTCTTAGGGCTTTACGTCACTTCACCTACTACATGACTTTTACAAAGAAAAACTTTCGTTTATAACTTACGCTGTAGGGCGCAAACCCTCTGAGCCAACTCTGGCACTAGAGCCTGTCGAGCAACAAGCCTGGAAAAGTGGAAATCGGGCGGGTCCAATTCATTGGAGGATTTTCTGAAACAGAATTCCCCTGACGACCCCCACGCACTATACAAGCTCCTCTCATCTCCTCTCTATGCTCTCTATGCTCCCCACTTATTGGAAGGTTTTGAAACACGCCTTCACCATTCTCCATGGAGAATCTCGACTCAGGAGATTCTGATCACGTCAATCATGAAGCCGGTGTACAGGTAACTGACTGGTGGCTAAGTCATCGAGTCGTGCATGTATCATTACCGGAAACTCATATACATGTGGCGTATCAAGCAGACTTGTCAACAATCAATCGATCGACATGATTGATTCCTATATAGGTTAAAGAATTACTTCATTAGGTAGCCTTTAGCCTAGATAGGAATCAATCATGCCGATCTGATTGATTGTTGACAAGTCTGGTATCAAGCATGTAGGCCAAGCAAGCCGAGCACTTTATTCACTCTTTCAAGCTTTTCTCCAGCATCAAGCATCTTTCACAATGGTTGCCTGAACTCTTGGTGTCTTCTTCACGTCGCTGGCGGCATCTGCAGTTGCAGCGCCGGCCCCGGCCATCACCCCTGCACCCAAGCCCGAGGTTGTTAAACGTGCCTCCAGCTGCACTTTCTCAGGCTCCAACGGAGCTGCTGAGGCATCCAAGTCGCAGTCATCATGCGCTACTACGGTCCTGTCCAACGTTGCCGTCCCTTCAGGCACTACGCTGGATCTCTCTAGCCTGGCTGACGGCACCACTGTCATCTTCGAGGGTACCACGAGTTGGGGCTGCAAGGAGTGGAAGGGTCCCCTTCTTGACATTCGCGGAAATAAAATCACTGTCAAGGGCGCTGCGGGATCTGTTCTCAATGGTGACGGAGCTCGTTGGTGGGATGGTGAGGGCGGTAACGGCGGAAAGATCAAGCCCAAGTTCTTCTCCGCGCACACACTAACCGACTCCTCCATCACCGGCATTACCATCAAGAACCCTCCCGTCCAGGTCGTCAGTATCAATGGATGTGATGGTCTTACCATTACGGACATGACTATCGATGCCTCTGAGGGTGACGAAGACGAGCAGGGCCACAACACAGATGGTTTTGATATTGGCTCAAGCAGCAATGTCGTCATCGATGGTGCTGTGAAGGTCGTCCGAAGATGATCTTGGGTTGGTTCTCGGGGATAGAGTGATGCGATGGACACGAGGGTGTATAGCACGATTGGTAGATCGATGTAATATACGGGGAGTTGAGAA